ATCACGTACTCAAGGAACCGCTCTCGAGGGATTCAATTTCAGTACCACCACACTTATGAAACGATATCTCGAGGTATAAATAATGTGTGACACAACTCTCGCATTTTCTACTGTCTGTTCATGGTTCTTCTTCTACATCATATGACTAATACATTGCTTCAATACTTCTCTCAGACAAGTTCTGAGCCGCAGATGTGAAGACGCATCAGATCGAACAAGCCCTGACCGTGAAACCATTCCAGCGTTTTCGCAGTCTTGTTCTTCTTTTCTTCTACTGTCCCTTATCCGTATTTTCCTGAAAATGGTTACTAATAATCCAAACCCCATATAATCAGAATTTGGACTTTGGATCATAATACCAAATGAGCCCCTTTTTTGCTATCTTGTTTACTTATGCATTGTGTTTCACACTGAGATAGTGAAACCTATTATCTCTCATTTGGAGATAAGAGAAGTCCTCTAACAACAAATCAAATGGTGCACCAAGCAGAGCCCTAGCTGTTGCTGATTGTAGACAAATGAGATATACCGTATGTACTATAGACTATAGTAGGTTAATTTTACCAAAATATAATTGACATCCACAAACTGAACTGTATTTAATGGAATAATATATTCGGTTCAGTTCAATAGAAGTTTCAAATTCCAAACCTAACTATAGGTTGTTAGCATCAGTTTACTTGATCCCGTGTGATATGCAACTTCTTCCCGAATTTCGCTGGCACATAACGATCGCATGACCCATGTGATTTTAAACTTCTCCACACATCTCGGTGGCACATTAGTAACAGATGTTAATATACAAAATTATTAAACTCAAACAAATAAACAAATGCAAGACAAGTTTGTTATATATAGGTCCTCATCGTCCCAATCTATCTCCAGCAAACTCCACTCTTCCACCGTAATCTTCAACATGGGATTTTTGTTCCGTCTCGCATTTATTGGTCTTCACGTTAATTAATAAATACGAGACGAGGAATCTTCCATACTGAAGATAACCGGTGGTCATTGTGATGCTGACACAAACTCAATTGCATTGGATAAAGTAAAAGAGATGGAACAAAATATTCCTTCATTTTATTTTTATTGTTCTATCGAAAATATTGCCAAGTGTTCGTGCTGATCACTAAATCGAGCTAAAGGGAGCTTAGCCGATTTCTTTCTGTGGGAAGTTAATTGTTTGTGGTATCTTCTTTAGGTCCATTCTTTGTCCACACGGCCCTCCAAACATGTTGCTGCAATGTAGTTTTGGTACCTAGCTTCTTTATCGTGTTATTTCTAGCTTTCTTTTCCTTCAAATTTCTTCTTTTATATGCATATGTTCATTATATATACTGTATACATTAATACATATGCGTCTCTTTCTGCATATCTTAGGGAGCTGGACGAAAAAAAATCGATGAAATTAATGAGAGGAGGCTGTATTGATCTTGTTAGCTTCTAGTTAAGCAATATTGTTTAAAATATAATCTCTGTTATTCTATCCATGTTTTGGGTATATATGGTGATGATGAATAGCACTCATTTAACTTTTCATTCAGTATTGTAGTATAAAAATTTTTACCATAAAGAAAAAATTATCTATTGATGAACCAATTATTACAAAATGAAACATTAGTCGCTGATATATATCGTTGTAGTTAAAGCGACGACCACATAACGAATACTCCTTTACCTTTATCGTTGGAGTATAATTTAGTTACTGATTGATTTAGCTGATGAAGATGAAACGAATAAAATTTATTTACTGATCGACCTTTACCTCTATATCTTATAATGCTTTTCAAAATGAAATTCCTCTCACTATATTAGATTTTGGCCATCCCCAATATGTGGAAACAAACAATAAACCCCAGCCTGTACTTGTAGTTATCTTTCTATTACTAGACTAACTCCGTGTATACACGCGCGAATTTTCTTATTGTTATATTTTAAGAAAAATATTATAAAACAATTATAGAATTTTTGATTGATATTTTAGTCCAAATAACACCCGCATTTAAATCCTTATTTGCTTAGTTAGCGACTAATTTTTAAATATATAATTTTGCATAATACTACATGTACTTATGCTCTTGACTCTTTTTATTTATTTAGCGCTACATGGAACAGACTCTGCTTCCCCGCCATTGTTGTACGCTGAATCCAATTTTCTGTATATTATAACAATGTTGATGTTTAATAGTGATTCAAGATGAAAGCCAAAATATAATAGTTTTGAAGTAATAAAATAGTTTTCTTTATTTTATACGTTACAATGGACATCAGAATAAAACCAAAAGTTGCACTGAAGTTCCATTAAACCTTTGGAACTTTTTCAAAATGAAAATTATATGAAGATTTATTTTGTAAGTTACAATAAGCACAAAAAAGACTAGAAGTTGCATTGATATTCTATTAAATTTTTGGACTTTTTTTTTAAAGTGAAAATTATATGCCACATATCATCTTCTCTTGTGTCCATATATCCACAATATGGAGAAAGTTGATCACAATTCATATATATAATTTTAACAAAGTTGTCACATTTTCCTATAATTAGATAAGTATATATTATCTATTATTTTTAAATTTATCATAAATGAATTATGGAGGCACATAATATAAGAACATTAACTCCTTTTCTATACACGAAACTAAAATAATGACCTCTAATGTGAGTTTAAACTCCACGTCATACACTAAACAATTTGTTTCCTTCTGACAAGAAAGAACAACATATTAAGGACAAAAGGTAAAAACCAAATCAAGAATCCATAGTCTTATCATCACGATCAACGGCGCTTGAGTTCTTGCAATGAGCAATGGCCGCTTGTATCGCAGCTTGCAACTGTCGTCCCTTTGATTGCCACTCATTTATCTTTCCTGGAAATGGGTATGTATAATCCAACCCCATAATACCAAATGAGTCTTTTCTGCTACCTTGTTTACTTATGCATTGTGTGTTTCACAATGAGATAGTGAGAAATATTATCTCTCATATGGAGATAACAAAAGACCCTCAAACAACATATCAAATGTTGCACCAAGCAGGCCCTAGCAAGACAAGTAAATAAAGAAATGCTTAAGTAACAAATCATAACATACAAAAACAAATCTTGATTTGAAGTACTTGTATATTAAATAAATGAATTTGAAGTACTTGTATGACAAGCTAACAAATTTTGTGGTTATATTATTTTGAGCTTGTCTTCTAACAATCTTTTTATTATTTTGAGTATTGACTATTGACGCAATTAATAAAAAGGTTGTTAGCATCAGTTTTCTTGATCCCGTGCGATCAACCCGAATCTCGCTGGTATGTGAACTTTCTCCACACATCTCGCTGGCACACTAGTAACAAATCTTAATATACAAAATTATTAAACTCAAATAAATAAGTAAATCCAAGACAAGTTTGTTATATATAGGTCTTCCTTGGTAGCTCTTTCCCAACAAAATCTTATTGAAACAAGAAAATTTATTTTCAATAGAAAAATCAAAGACAAAATGAAGCAATATTTTGTTCTATCTCTTCTTAGATATCTCTTGTTCCCATCAACAAAGCATCTCCGGAGACCAGCAAACTCCAATTAAGGTGGAAGAGTCAGAGTTTGCTGGTCTTGGTGCGAGAGATAGCTTCCATGATTGCGATGGTGACACAAACTTTATAGTGTTGTATGAGCATATCTAAGATAAGAGATAGAATACAATATTGCTTCATCTTCGCTAAATCCAGCTAAAGGGAGCCTAGCCGATTTTCTGTGGAAATCATTTGAAGTCGAGCTCGATTGGATGATGCATGTTGTGAGCGGGTGCAAAATCGAGCTTAATGCTTCTAAAGAGAGAGTGGCCCGCCAAAGTAACTTGCTCAAGAAGTACGAAGAACAGTTGAGTTCTTCATGTTGCTCTCCTTGCTCCAAAGGATGCAGTTACATAAGCTGATGGAAAGAATGAGGTTCCAGAAGTGTGGAACGTTCTAGATAAAATCAAGGAAGTTTCCGAGACAATTGGCTCTTCTTCATGGGTAATTTGTAGATGCCATTTTAAATCTCACATCTTTCGTTTTCATTTCCATGTGTTGATTATTAATTCTGCGGTTATTGACAGGTTGGAGCCACTGGCAAGCCGCTGAAAGATGTCATTGCAATTGGTATTGGTGGTATCTTCTTAGGTCCATTGTTTGTGCACACACACGGCCCTCCAAACAGGTTGCTGCGTGTAGTTTTGGTACCTAGCCTCTTGATGGTGTTCTTTCTAGTTTCTTGTTCTTCAGATTTCTTCTTTTATATGCATGTTCATTATATATACCTCTGCGTCTCTTTCTGCAAATCTTTGGTAGTTGGACGAAAAAAATTCGATGAAATTAATGAGAGGAGGCTGTATTGATCTTGTTAAGCAATTTTGTTTAAAGTATAATATCTGTTATTCTATCACTCATTTAACATGTCTATCAACCCATATTTTAATATAAAAACCTTTTACTAAAAAAAATAAAAAATAAATAGATGAACTAATTATTGCAAATGAAAATTAGTCGCTGATATATATCGTTGTAATTAAAATGCGACTACGTAACGAATACTAATTTAGTTAGTGATTGATTTACCTGATGAAGATGAAAAGAAATACTAAGATTTATTTACTGGTCGACTATTACTATATCTTCTAATTGCTTTTCAAAATGAAATTCCTCTCACTATATTAGTTTTTGGCCATCCCCAATTTGTGGAAACAAACAATAAAACCCAGCCTGTACTTGTAGTTATCTTTCTATTATTTTAACAAAGTTGTCACATTTTCCTATAATTAAATAAGTATATATTATTTATTATTTTTATATTTATCATAAATGAATTATGGAGGCACATAATATAGGAACAGTAACTCCTTTTCTATACACGAAACTAAAACAATGACCTCTACTGTGAGTTTAAAATTCCACGTCACACACTAAACAATTTGTTTCCTTCTGACAAGAAAGAACAACATATTGAGGACAAAAGGTAAAAACCAAATCAAGAATCCATAACCTTATCATCACGATCAACGGCGCTTGAGTTCTTGCAATGAGCGATGGCCGCTTGTATCGCAGCTTGCAACTCTTCCATGGTGCTATCACTCGACGATGATGACGTGGAAGCCGAGCTTGACGACAGTCCCGCCGTGGACACACGAAGGTGGCCACTGTTCGTCGGAGATGTTCTCATTGACGCCGGAGCTGAGAACAACTCACCTCTCCTCCCTCGAATCAGATCTCTCGAGCCATTAGTCATTGCCTTGCTGTTTCCTTTGGAACCCATTATAGAGGATGAGAAAGAATAAGATGAAGTATGTCTTCTGTTCCTGAACTGCGTGCCGTTTTCTCTCCTCTGAAACAACATCCTTATGTACTTCTTGACCGCGTGACTTAGGTCTAAGCTCATAAGTTTCTTCTTCTGCTGCTGCTGTTGTTGTTGTTCACGCTCGTTGCTTTCGAACCCTTTTCTCCATTTCGATAAACCAAAGAGAGAAAATGACTTAACGGATTTGGTTTTCACCCGATTGTCACTTTCGGATCCCTCTGCTTTATCGCCGGCGTTGTTGTCCTTTGCCTCCATGCTGATAACGTTGTTTGTGGTGGTGAGAGTAGTGGGCTCGTCAGGTAATATATCTCTGACAGGGAGGGCAAATCCGTCATTATACGAACCTGTGGATGTTCGTGGAGAGACAGGGAGGTGAGAGAGGAGATGGAGAGGGAGAAGATGGCCGTGGAAGAAGATCTCATCGGCAGGGGATAAGTCGACGGCGAATGGATCGGTTTGTTGATAAGACGATGTCGTTTTGGAGGGGTTTCTTAGAGTAGGGCTGATGTGTTTTGAGGAAGAAGAGAGAGGCTGGAGAGAGATGGTGAAGGAGAAGTCATGAGAAGGAGAAGAAGAAGGAGAAGGAGATGATATTGGTGAAGCTTCTTTAGGGTTTTGCTTTTCAGAAAAGGTTTGAGAACTGTTCTTCACCTGTTGTAGATGGGTTTCCATGATGATTGAGGAATGGAAAAAAAAAGAAAAATCAATCAAAAAGGGAAAAGGGGTTTTTGTGTTGATCAAACGATATGATGGTGTGTAATAATATTATTAATATTAGGTTCAGTCTTGAGTCTTTCAGTAAAGTGGTGTGTTCTTTGTTCTTTTCATTTTGTTTATGTTTATATAATTAGTATTATTCCGGTTTTCCTGTAAAGGTGAATATGACAAAATATTTTCTTACGGAAAAGATAAGGAAGCCGTGGAGAGAGACGACCAAGAGGTGTGATTAGAAAAATACAAGAATGGTCAATACAAATATAGTGGACGAGTTATGTCGTGTAAGAGAACAAAAGAAGAAGAATGTAATGCCAAAAACATTTAGGCTAGAGTGTAAAGCACATTCGTTTAAGGTGGGGATGGCATATTAACTAGGTGTATATATAGAAGTTATACGGAAATGGGTGTAATTAAATTTTTTGAGTATGGGAGAATTTTGCGGAAGATACCACAACAGTGTCTCAAATGACTGTAATCGCTTTGTTTCATGGTGCTTATTTATTGATTTAAAACAAAAGTTCCACTTGACAATCTAACAAACTAACTTATTAATGGATGTAGATAGAAATATTGCACGACAATGTTATATTAGAAGAAGCTACCACACCACGGTAACTATCACTGCACAAGGATCTTCACACCCTAAGAAAAGAGAAAACATCAACAAAAGCATTTTATTCACACATGCAGCGAAACCAAAACGATCATGAAAAAATACTATGGAGATAGGCCGTGAATGATGCTTGAATTTTTCTTGGTCCGGATGTAAAAACCGCGGACACTGCTTAATATAGTCATGGTTATCATGTTTTTGGACTTACAAAAGTATGTCTCGGTATGGAGAAGGAGGCCCTTTTCTTAAAGGTCCAATGTGTTCTACGATCATGTGAGTAGGCCGAGACCTAATTTATGTTTCTAAATAAATTTGGTAAATTATAAAGTTGACATTGTTGGTGGAAAATTCTGAAACTAGATCTAACTCAAAGTTTTGGCAGCTTTCCAATAACGATAACCTACTTGACTCCATGCACATGCTGATGCAGTAAGCACTAAAAGAAGAGAATAGATATATCGAACCATACCGGAATAGAAGTATATAACAATCATGTAGTCTCTTAGTTAATGCAATCGTTTAATGTGTATATAAGAACCATATGTCCTATGTTAATATTAAAGCAACATATAGAACATTTAAAGCCTGTCAAATCTTTTATACTTTCTTCGTGGTTTAAAAAAAAAAAAAAATCACACATTATATTTTCCTAGCATCTAAATTATATTAAACTCTCAGTCTCACATCTATTTGTTTAGAAAGACTTATCTATCGTTTAGTATATTCATTTGCACCTTGGAAAAAAAAAACAAATATATATGTATAATATCACTTGGATGTAATGTAGCTGCGAAAGATTCATTTTGTTGCAAAGGACAAATAGAAAGTTACAAAATATTTCGTGGAACCATTCATTTGATAAGATTTGATATGGGGATGGGTGAGAAGAACATTATGTCGCTTTGCCATACATTCGTACATGAAACGACTGTCAACATGGACAAATGCCTCTTTCTCTTCCTCTCAAATGACCTCAACGCAATTCAACTCTAGATTTTGTTAAGGTCCCACTTTGCTCTATCTCTCCAACCGTACACATATATAGTTCTCTTCGTGAAATCAAAGATATGCTATGGCTTTTCCACTTTTAGTGACTATTTGATTTCAACACTCATACTCCTCCATCTCCATGTGTCTATCTTTGTTTGGGATATCAAAATCCAAGTCTCTGCATTGGAAGTTCAGAAAAAAACTGTCTGATATAAGTAAAGTCCAAGTCTGAGTATTATGAGAATATGAGGCTTGCCTAAGGCTGGCTTTAGCTTTATAAGTCGTTACATGTCAAATCTTAGGAAAACACTATATATCACAATGAAGATGCTCTGCAGCTTTTGAGATACTTGACATAAACTATGGATTAAGTGATTAACGCTGAAGGTTTTAAATTTGTTAAATGATTTTTTTTTTTTGTTATTTGATGTTTCAAATTATCTTGTATAAAATAAATAAAATCAATTCCTAGAACATCAAATAAAATGAAACAAAGAGATTTTGTTAATTAAAAACTATTTTATATGCTGAAGGGTTGTATAAAAGTTTATATATGAGCTTATTTTTCACAGGCAATAAAAAGTAGTTTTTGTGTCAACAAAAAAGATAGTGAAATTGGAACATTTTTAACATTTTTATGGACAATCCATTTAAAGGGATTGATTATAAGAAAAATTAAGGGTTTACAAAATTTGGGATGTGGACTGGACTGGTAATATTGGATGAGTATATATGATATGAACATCAAAATATATTTTCTTGCTGAGTAATGATGCTATTAATTATTTGGATTAGTAAAATGTAATCTCATATAGCATTGTGTACGAAAGAGACTAAATTCATTGCATTTTCTAGTGACAAGATTGTGTGGTATACGAAGGATCGCTAAAGGAACATGTCAAACGAGAAATACATCATATGGGTGTCAAAAACTTTGACAATGATTTTGGTAGTAAAAATTATTGAGTGGATACGAATTTGCAATTCCTAATATTTTCGCCAAGTTAATAAAAAAAAAAAGTGAATTAATTGTGGCTGCTGGGATTCGAGACCAGGTCTCCACGGCCACAACGTGGAATTCTTACCACTAAACTACAGCCACTTTTTGATGGTACTTTAATAACTTTAGTTTTCGTACATCTAAATATAGATAATTTTACTTTTGCTATATCTAAAGTTGAAAGAACTTATTATATCTCAACTTTACACTTTGGACAAAAATAATAGGACTATACTAGATCTAACTTGTCCATAAGTGCATAGAGTTTTTTGCTTTGAGTCCTGGTTGATAAAGAAACGTTTTTTAAAAAGGACCTAAAAACTAGTGGACACTCGAGCTCTAGATTTGTAGTTGGTCAAAATCATCACATAAATGCATGATTCTCTTAATTTTTCATGTAAAATGAAATAAAGCAACTAAAGTGTGGAGAATCCAACAGAAAAAGAGAAGCCAATGGTTATGCATAGAAGAACGTATGCCTTTGTTTTTATGTGTGGTTCTCTTTTCTTATCCAGCAATATCGCCACATTCCTTCATTATATATCAAACAAAACACTATTCTCCTCATGTGAACAAGAAAGCAAACAATGTCTGAAACAGAAATCAAGAAGCCACAAGAAGAAGAAGCATCATCAGCTACTACTACAACTTCTTGGCCGGATATCGAACAGGAACTCGTGATCCCCGAGGTTTTACATAGCGAAGGCGTCAAGAAGCTTCACAAGAGCATTCAAACCGAGTGGGATTACCTTCAGAAATCTGCTTGTCAAACAGCTGCAGGGAGAGCTCTCTGGAAACATGTCATCAACGATCCCCTCGCTCACTTGTTCGCTGGAGAAACACATTTGAGAAACCTCCACAAAAAGATTCAGACCGACCTGCTCAACAATGCTCGAGAGGTCTCTGGTGTGATTCTTGCCGTTCGTACCCTCTGGTTCGACTCAAGGATCCAAGCTGCTCTTGATTCTTTCCACAGTGATGATGATTCCTCGCAAGTTGTTCTTCTTGGTGCAGGTTTGGTTTCCGTTTTCTTGATACTATGATGTGTATGAAGCAAGAACTGAAGATAAGTAACTGAATTTTCAGGAATGGATGCAAGATCATACAGACTAAACTGCTTGAACAAAAGCGACGTATTCGAAGTGGACTTCCCCGATGTCTTGCAAGCGAAGACGAGCCTAGTCCAAGCTGCAGTGGAATCAAGAAACGAGCTGAAGATGACGGCGAGGTCACTAGTGAGAGCAGCGATCGATATCAGAGACGAAGACTGGTTCGAGAAGCTCAAGAAGTCCGGTTTTCAACCAGAGATCAACACTGTGTGGGTTCTTGAAGGCATTCTCTATTACCTCTCTCACACAGAGGCAATGCAAGTACTAAACCTCATAGCTGACAAGTGTGCAGTGACCAGCACTGTTCTCTTAGCGGATTTCATGAACAAACCGTCCGCTACACTCCCGAACTCGGTGTTCCACTTCTACAGTGACTGGCCTGATCAGCTGTTGCCAACTCTGGGGTTCTCTAATGTCAAGCTTTCACAGATTGGTGATCCGGATGCGAACTTCGGCCTACTGCATGATCCGCTCAATCTCTTTAGCAAACTTCTTCGCTTGCCGAGGTCTGCGCTGGTCCATCCAGATGATGGAACACCGTGCTGCCGGTTGTATTTGGTCGAGGCTTCTGGCTCACCGCCTCCAGATAGTTCCATAGAGAACCATTTGTGAGCTCGTTCCACAAGTGCATGTGGCACTGCACGCTTTTGCAGAATCGTTTCACCACCATAGAAATTGTGTAGGAGATTGTTGGTAATGTGAATGTATAAAACCATTGATATGAACACATTTCACTATATTTTAAAACACTAATCTCAAAAGCTCTGTAACACAAAAACGATTTCAAGTGACGAATGAAGCTAAGCATCAAGCATATGATTATATATGTTTATATTAAACGAGATGTTGTAACAAGTGTTGACACTACTTAATTCTGCTTTCAACAAGAGAAGAACAGACTTCATCTCAGATCTCAAGGCAGTTCTTGACACCTGTTTCAAACTTGTCAAGATAAGAGATTGCTTCCACAACAGCATCTGCGATCTTTTTTCTGAAAAAAAAACATTGTGCTGACTGTTTTAGTGACATGAGAGATAGAACAGAGTTTTGGTTAACAGAGAAGACATGAAAGCACTAACCTATCAGAAGGAAGATTCATATCAATCCCATTCGTGAGAACGATAAGGGAACCGAAAGATCTGCGATACACAAAGTGCGGAATTAACAAACGAGCAAGAACAAAATCACAGCATTTGCATAACATTACATTACATTCATGTGATTCAGTAACCAGACATTCAACAAAATCAAAGTAGCACATATTATAATTTACCTTATGAGATCATTTAGGGTATCCTCTGCTTCCAATATGAGTGGATCTTTATCATCTAGTAATGAAGCAGCATTCTTCAGAACAAGCTTAAATGTGCAAACCTGAAACCATCACCTTCATTAAAAAAATTAAATTTTTGAGGTATCGATTGAGTAATAGAAGAGAGAAACAAAAACCTCGACTCCGGTTTTAGACTGAAAATCCACAAGAGAGGTTCTCTCTTTAGGAACACAATCTCTTGCAGAAGTCCTTAACAGACTCTGAAGACTCTCCAAATCTTTATCCGCATAATCAGACTCTCTAGTCGCTTTTATGTTACAAAAAAAAAAACTTTAAATCATCAAAACAGTAAACTTTCAAGGAATCAAATAGAAATGAAAAGAAAAAAGGAATGTACTTAGGGAAAGATAAACAGAGCGGAGGCTTTCACGAGAAGCATCGATAGGAGCTAACAAGAACCTCGACGACTTCTTCTTCTGATCTTTCAGCCATTCTTTAGGTCCTGCTGCGTGAAACCCATCAAGAAATTAGGCTTCTTTCACAAAATTAAAGGATGATTAACAGATTATGCAGAAGTTATCTGTACAGATTCCGAAGGCAGAGGCGGGATTGGTTGGAGAGAGAGAGAGGAGGAAGAGAGAGGCGGAGACGGCGTCTCTACGAGAGAGAGTGCGAGGGAGGTCAGAGGTTTGAGCAGAGATCGGTGCTTTAGGTTCACCGACTGGAGAGAAGAAAGGTTGAAGAAGAGTGGGGATAAGAGAAGCCATGACCAGATTAAAATATCTTGTTTTACCCGCCCACGTGGTATTTATAGGAAACTAGGGGTGACCCGCGCTTCGCGCGGGAATTGAAATTGTTGTGTTGATTTTATTATTTTTCACAAATTTAATTTAATTATATGATTTATTATTATTTTAAAAATGTCATACACATATTAATCAAATATAATTAGGGTTACTAAAAAATTTCCGAAAATTAAATATAATTAAGTTTACGCAAAAATTTTGAACCATCATTTTTCATTCCTCCCATTTTGTTCTTTTTATCATATCCGTTTTTTCCCGTCCCATTCGCCATGTCCGTATCGTCACGTGCAATCCCATCATGTCTGAGACTGTTCCATCCCGTTTTGTCCAGTCTCATCCCGTTCTTTCCGTTTCTTTCCGTCATGTCCTAAAATATAATTAGGGATATGCTAAATTCACGTTTTTTCCGTTCCATTATGTTTCTTTTCATCCCGTCATTTCCGTCATATCCATCCCGTCTAGTCCCATCCTGTCTCATTATGTTTTTTCCTGTCTTGTCTTGTCCCATCTTGGTCTTTTTGTTTCTTCTTGTCCCGTCTCTAAATATAATAAGAGGTAGGCAAAATTTACCTCTTATCCCGTTCTATTTCTCGTCTCGTTCCTCCCCGTCCTATTCATTCACATACCGTTTTGTCTCGTCCCGTTCAGCCTCGTTCTGTTTTTTTCCGTCTTATATTGTTCTATTCCCATCCTTTTTCGTATTAAACTATTAAAATCTATTTGATAAAACTAAAATTATTAAATTAGAATTTATTTAGATCAATATATAAACTATTTTCTTATACAAAATGACTTTTCAAATTCTATTATGATTAAGTGATAGATGTAATAAATTATTACTTTCAAAAGAGAATTGGAAGAATATTGTTTAAAAGAGAGTTTGTTGACGTAGCGCGTTCCTCTATATATATAGATGGTCTTATCGGTTCAGACCGATTCAGCTGAAGTCTCCGGTCCGGTCCGGAGGTGAGCGAAATGAAGTAAAACTGAAGAATGAAAGGACTCGTTATGCAGTATAGTGGAAGTTGAGGCGTTTCTAAACAAATCTTTCTTTTATTGCTTTTCAACGCCTGCAAACATGAGACTTCAGATTCGAGGTTTTAACTTGATAAACCCTCGAGAATTCATATTGTGATCGATAGCAATAGTCAAGTTGCAGAAGAAAGATGGAATCGAATCTTCCTCAGTTCAAGGTCAGACTATTTTCATTTTTGCCCGATCTATTCAACTGGAAACTGCATCAAATTCGACTGTTTCTCCATTCGATTTCGCACTGTGGTTCCTCCAGAATGTTGGAATTGTAGTTTTGCTTGTGTGCTTGGAGATATTGGAATCTGTAGGTTTCTGATTTTTTTCTCCATTAATTTTGATTTGCAGCTGATTTTGGGATCTTCTTCGATTGCTCGACGTCAGATACTAACAGACATGGGATACCAATTCACTCTCATGGTAAACTTTCTAGTTTAGTCCTCTTCCTTTGTTCTTTGATAATATTCAAGATCAGCACTTTTGTATTTTGGTGATAAAATGGAAGTGATTGTTGTACACAGAGTGCTGATATTGATGAGAAAAGCATCCGCAAGGAGAAACCTGAAGACTTGGTTTTGGCTTTAGCAGAGGCAAAGGTAACTTCAGTTAATCATCTAGAAGCAAAACATTTGTAATCTCTGGGTATTTGCAATATATAACCGTGACTAGGTTGAGATTCTTATCTATCTATGTCATTCTTCTTAATTGGTAGATAATATGGTTCATGGATTTATATTCGTTTTTTCGTTTCTTATGATTGATTTATGAAACTGCATCACAGGCTGATGCTATCGTGTCAAAACTACAAACTACAGAATCTAAAGATGATGAAGAACAACCTACACTCTTGATTGCATCAGATACAGTATGTAGTTTTCTTCTTTTTGGTTTAGGTAATTATTGGATAGTCTTCATCCACTATCACCAAGTTCCATTTTATGTCTCTGAGGATGGATCATCTTCTAGGCGAAACACACTCGTAATAGCTCTACTTACTCTGGCTTTAGAAGTATCTCTTTAGGGTCCTCTATATCTTACTCTCAGGCTGTTATGTGTGATTCTCTAGGTTTTTGAACTAATTTTCTTGGTTTTCCATGTTTATCTTTTCTTTGGTTGAATTTTATGTTCTCTAGCTCCTCTTTTATACTCTAAAAAGAAAGATTACAATCTTGTTCATTTGGTGTATTTGTTAGTTTCAACAGAGTTTTATGTTATCTTACAGGACCTCTTTAATGTGTATATAACCAAAGGTGTTTCATATGTATCTGTCTTTTTCTCTGAGTACTATATTCGTCCATCAAATAGCATTCTCTTCTTCTTCTTCTTCTTCTTCAGGCTGAAGCAATCATGCAGCGGATCTCTGATGATGACAAGATACAGGACGACAAGTCGACAATACTTGTTACTTGTGACCAAGTACTGATCTGTGTTTTGAATTTTCTGAAATTTGCGGAAACTTTACTTATATATTATCATGGAAAACAATTTTAGATTAGGTTAGTGTTCAAAAAGAGTCCCAAGAGCTATAGGATTGTATTAAACTGTTAGTTGGTTCGGTAGTTAATAGGAGTATTGAAATTGAGAAACGAAAGATGAGCCATCCTCAGTACATAAATGGTTTTTGGTGATATTGGAATATAGTCGTCTATCAGAGATATTGATTTAATGTTTTGAATGGTTATGAAGGTTGTCGTCTATGAAGATGCCGTCAGAGAGAAACCTTCGAGTGCAGAAGAAGCAAGGGAATACATAAGAGGTAAGCTCTCATTACCTTTCCTTTGTTAACTACGACACCCAAAGCTTAGGTCAAAAGTATCTAATAAATGAAAACACAGGCTATTCCAAGGGACACACAGCAACAGTAAGCTCTGTGGTTGTAACGAATCTCAAAACAGGATTCAGAAAAGGAGGCGTCGACAGAGTGGAGGTATCACTATTTAGTAATCCATTTCATTAGAGTTTGGATCTTACAGCATCAGCTGATGGTTTCACACTTGTTAACAGATCCATTTCAATGAAATATCGGAGGAGATTATCGAGAAATTGGTGAGACTTCATGTATAAGATATATTTTTTTCCACCAAAACCAATATTGCTTCTACCAATTTAAGGCCTTGTTATTGATGAGCACAGATTGAGGAAGGCATGGTGATTAAGGTTGCTGGTGCACTTCTAATAGAGCATCCTCTAATATTGCCATGCGTTAAGCAAGTGGTTAGATTCCTTTGCCATGGTTTGGTTTCTCCTGTCATTTTTGGACCATCAATGTTGAGTTTAGGTGTATTGTTTTGTGTATCAGGTTGGCACAACAGATAGCGTCATGGGTCTGCCTAAAGAATTGACTGAGAAACTTCTAAAACAAGTAGTGGCAAGCACATAGGTGCATTGAAATTGGAGCTCTACTGTTTTAATCTCTACAATGTTAAGTGTATTCATATATTTATCAAACCAACAAAACCAAAGTTTATTTTAAGTTTTTAACTCTTCCCTTGAAAAATCACAAACACTCTTTCTCTCTCCTTTTCATCTTTTTTCTTCGTGTTCATCGCCAAAATGGATGAGATAAAATCGGAAAAAGAAGAAAAATGCAGAGGTCGCAATAAAGCCAGAGCCATTTGCCGTGAATCTGGAGATCACGTCCATTATCATCCGACGCGCCAAGCCAAAGCCAAGCGTCCTCATCACGCGCCGTCGGAGATCCTCAAATCGATCTTCGAAGTCGCTCGCAAGGCACGCTACGGCGAATGCAGGAAGAATCAAGCCGCCGGTATCGGTACCACCGCCTACGACGGCTGCGGAGAGTTCATTAGCGCCACTTCCGGAGAAGATCCTCTGAATTGCGCCGCATGCGGCTGTCACCGTAGCTTCCACCGGGAAGATACTATTTCCGACGGCGTCACTGAGACGGTTCTCGATGTGCTCAAGATTTCATCGGATCAGTTTCGTCGGATCTTCTGCTCCCCTTACGGAGAAGGGAATAATCGGGTTGTGATAGATCAATCTGTTGGCGGCGATGTAGTGGAGGAGGAGCAGCGGGTTGTGATAGATCGATCTGGTGGCGGCGATGTAGTGGAGGAGGAGGTGGGGAAAGTGAAGAGGCTTAAGACGAAGTTTACGGCGGAGCAGACGGGGAAAATGAGGGATTACGCGGAGAAGCTGCGGTGGAAGGTGAGTCCTGAGACTAGAGAGGAGGTTGATAAATTTTGCTTAGAAATTGGAGTTGATCGGAGAAAATTTATGAACTGGATGAACAATCACAAGGACAAAAACTGATGATGACTACCAGATTCCAATGGTCTTGCTTTCCGATTTTGTTTATTTTTTGGATTGGATATGTATAAATTAGTAAAGTTTTCATTTGATTTGGTTTGATTTGTGAAATTATCTGCCACGCTTGTTTACATGTTTTGGGTTCAAATGAAAGCTAATTTGTATAAATTTTTGGGTTATCTAAACATGTTTCAATGTGTATTTTTAATCCTTTATCAAGAACAAAGTGTCATATGATCATATATTCATATCTATAAGGTTATAAACAAATTACTTGAACACAAAAATGACTCGAAAACATGAGAAATGAACATAGGTCGGTAACTGCTAATTGATAGTGACCGTTATGAAAACATTCCGTTATATACTTGTATTTGACCGTGACCCTGATCAATCTAAACCGTGGTCTCTGTTTAAAAAGACAGAAGTACAATCACATTTTATTTTGTCATGACCACATCAGTGAGCAGAGAAAAGTTTGTTTATTGTAACATCAACCCAAACTAAATTATACCACTATGAGATCACAAAGTTGAAAGGAGATGTACACCGGACAACCTAAAGACATCCTTAGCGTTTGGTAGCTAGAGTTCATGTACCAAGTACCAACAGTTTATATTCTTGATTGTTTGCTAATATTAAACTAACTACACAATAATTTATATTCTCTATCTTCCTTACCAAAAACATAGAATAATAATAATACTATAAAAAAGTTCTTACTATGGCTCTTTGCCAAAACGTATGTAAATTTAACATATGTACAAGAAACTGCTCTCGTGAGCATTAGCTTTCGTATATCCAAAAACCAAATGAATATGAACAAGTTAATTTTGATAATCGGGGCAATTGACAAGAGAAAATTAAATACCCCATTCAAATTATTGCAACCTAATGGGTTGTGTTTCGTTAGTGACTAATCCTTCTTCTTGTTTTATCCGCATTGAAGTTTGATTCGTGGAAGGCAAAACAAGGCTTTCTTCAGGCGTAGGCGCCATTGAAGGCTCCATAACCAACTCCTCTTCTTCTATCTCTCTTGTTAAATACATTTCTACTGAATATCCCATCATTCTCCTTGGACCCGAGTCCTTGATTTTATGTTCTGAAAATCCAAACAAAACATTAATGAATATGATAAAAACATTTTCACTGTTGTCTCTTTGAAACAAAAGGGTCACTATAGAGAAAAAAAACGTTCGTTTTCTTGACAAATAGATGGAGTTTAAGAGTAATACCTTTGAGAGCTTGAGACCAGCTAACAAGCATTGGGGTGATAATGGTGAGAAGAGCCCAGAAGAAGAAGATCATTACATAGGCCCTTCCTTTCATTTTTTCGACAACAACTAAACTTTTTTGTGACAAAAGTTCGATCTTTGTTTCATCCTTAATAATAAAGCAGAAGATACAAAAATTGGTTTAAGAAGAAGACAACTTCTTCCAACATAAACATTGAGCTGGCCATGTTTGCATAACATTCTCAACACTTTCTTCATTGTTTATTTTATTTTATTATAGGTAATATTAATAATCTCGCATGAAGTCAAGCATTTCAATAAGTTGTTTTTGATTAACATATAAATGGTTGTTACGGTGGTTGTTGTTTGCAAATTATTTCCTGTCCGGTTTAATCCGCTCTTGGTTGTTTTTCCGCCATCATTGGTCCAAGTGACTATTTTTAAATGCATATTTGGTAAGTTTTTTTTTTTTTTAAATGCATATTTGGTAAGTTGGATTACAAATTTACAACTACGACTAAATGGTACACCATTGGACTTGGACCACTTGGTAAACCAATTAGTTTTGAATTAAAGATCTATGGAAACTTAACATGGTGTTAGAGGCATTTTTGTTAACCTTATTCGTGAATGATCCACTTAGTGTTTATTACCCGTCCTAGATGGAACATTCTCATTTCGAGCGAATATGTTAAGAAGAATATCGAAAGTTATGACGAAACTTTAACTATAAAGAGATTGTATGTAATTCTCACTGTTGTAATTTCTTTAAAATAAAATTGCAAAAAGTATAACTATCAAATACCAAATTCTTTAACGAATTGGATGTAGTTTTTGTCTACTTAATTCTCAACAGCTTTATACACTAAAAACATGGTTGTTCTTCATTAAAATAATTTGTATGATCCTTCTGAATACGATTATAACTTTTGATCATTTTTTCCCGGTTTTGTTTGGTTTGACTGTTAACGGGGTGGATTAAGCAAATGATTGAGAGAGACGGAAAAGTCAATGCCTCGAAAGGTCTGGTTACATACCATTACATGGTTCCCATCATCCAAAGTTCCTATCATGCAAAGTTTTTTCGTAGTTGTCACCATGTCGAGGGCCCACATTTCTTTTTGGACTAAATTGACGTCAAACTAATTATAATATTTCATCATCATTTGAGATTTAACATCAAATTTTGGGGTGTTCGATTTAAATTTGTAACAAAACTTTAGATTAGCTAGCTGTTAAAGTTTCTCGTGGATTTTTGGAGTATGTACCATCGCAAGAATCTCAAGGTTAGATATGTGAAGCTTAGTTGCACACCAATTCTTGCCAGAGGTATTTGATCACTCGACTAATAGAGAAGAAGTTCTTTGCATATTCAAGTTCAATTAAAGTGGTAATAAAACCTCAAGCTAAATTTGAACCCTCTTTGCTCTTTCTCCAGTTCAACACTAGAAAGATGATGAGACTCGCTAGAAAACCACCAAGACGTTGCTTCAAGAAGGGCCTGAGCAAACAGTAGCTGCCAAGATTGTTCTAGCTTTTACCAAAAGGTTGAGTTCGAGTGTGATCAGGTTCTAAAACGTTCTTTGGCGTGTACATTGTCTGCTTAATTATCGGCATTGCAGGACTAGATCAGAAGAATTTGACACACCCCGGACGAAGCAACAAGATTTGAAGCAGTGAGAAGATTTAAACCAAAAGAGCAAAATACAAGAGTCTTACATTTCAACTCACGAGGTTTTTGAGCATATAATCTAAAGCCAATATGCAAATGATTAATATGAAATGATCCACGAAAATCCAACTAACATCGATTAAAGTAATTTCAGCGTTACATTTCCATTGGAGCCACGTCTTGGTCACCTGAACCACCTTGTTCTGCTGGTGCAGCAGCAGCAGCAGCTTCACCTTCGGCCTCACCCTCACCAGCCTCGCCTTCTTCTTCCTCTGCCACTTTCTCAAACGTGTCGATCACGTTCTGTATCGTCTCCTGGTCCAAGAAGTGGAACGGCTCACCGACTCCTAGAATAGAGACAGTGCAGAGAGAGCTCTTCAGCGTTTCCCCTTGCAGTGTCTCCCTGACAGCCAAAATAGCGTCTTTGATCAGATCTTCCCTTGAAGAATCTCCAAAGCTCTCAAACCTGCGTTCCAGATAGGTCTTTGCGGCTTGTGAGCGGGATCCGATAGCAAAAGCTTGGTACTCGAAGTAGCTTCCGCTTGGGCAGTTGTAGTAAAGATGGGCTCCAGACTCATCCAATCCACCTACCAGCAAACCCACTCCATAGGGCCGTTTCCATGATCGCTGGGTACAAACCTGAAACACAAATATTCCCTTTTCAAGTCAATACGTATCTTGGAAAATCCTTGGTAAAGAAGATAAAAAAAGTAACTAAATTTGGACCTTTCTAGTAAAACCTCTCATGCTAATATGCTATTGAAGTACACCAGCGGATACAATATGAAAACGAGGAAAATACAAGAGAGTTCTTGCCAGTGGCTTTGCCGCAGACAATGAATTGAGGATGGGAATACAACAGCAAATGTGTTTCATATGTCAATGGAAATAAAACGTAGAAGAAACATTGCTGCAGTTGCAGAATTTAAGAGACCACAAGTTAGACGCAAGTAAAAACAGAAGAGAGATGTAAAGACCACAGAAGAGACCACAAGTTAGATGCAAGTAAAAACAACATGTAGCAAGAGTAATGACCGGTGAGAAAAGTGAAGAGTGTGGTGAGAACGAACTGCGAAACTAATGCGAAACAAAGACCTAAATTTCCATTTACTAAACGAAATGAGAATCAGTTCTCTCAATGACGACTCAGTCTTCCTATTGCGAAAGAGAACGTTTCAATGTTACATTCAGTTGTGCAGAACGGACTGCGAATAAAGCCAAGAAATGGGAACTTTGATGCAAAACAAAAAGCCTTAATCCAACTAGTAAAGGAAACGACGATCAATTATCTTAGTGACGACTGCAGAAACAAGTTTAAAAACAATTAAAAACTCATTCCTCTAGAATCATATTGCTAAAAGTGAATCTTTTGCAAGATATGATCTTCGTAAAGGTAAGTCTTTTGTATACAGAGATTATGCAGGCCTGTAACAACAACATACAAATCATTTCACCAAACATAATTTGAGTTTCTAGCAAAGATAAATCCTCCAATTCAGTATCCTCTCAATCAAGAAAACTCCTGTTAAATTCAATTTTGCTCTTAAAGTCTTGAATCAGATCAGATCACTACTTGCTCTTAAGCTCCCCAAGCTTTAATTTCCAAATCATCACAGAGTAATCAGTAATTGCAGAAGAAGAAACACATTCTATGTATATCAAACAAGCTTAAAGTGTGAATTTTAAGCTCAAGTGTGATTTGATTCCAAAATTCCCCCAAATTTCAATGAACTTTACAAGAGATGAGATTAAACGAAACACTAACCTGGGCCTTATCAGCGAGATGAACGACGAGACGACCAACGGGGAGAGGAGACTCGTAAGTGAAAGAGTGATTAATCGACTCCGATCTCATATAACGAGAGAGAACACGGCCATCGGCGGTGAGTCCAGCGATTGCGACGCCGATATGGTCATCGACTTTGAAGATCTTCTTCTGGTGAGAAGAGAGCTCAGATTGGGCTTTGTTGACGCAAGCGAGGACGACGTGAGAGCGAGATCTGAGTCCAATTGCGGCGGAGCCTTGCTTCACTGCTTCCATGGCGTACTCTACTTGGAAGAGACGACCTGTTGGGCTCCATGTCGTCACGTCCGTGTCGTACTGATTCCTGAACATCTTTTTGATTGTTGTTGATTTCCCTCTTTCTTCTTCTCTTCTTCTTCGATATCGTTTCGTTGTTGAAAGGGGTTTATACAAAACGAGAGCAGTGAGAAACTTTTCTTTTCCTTCAAGCCATGGATGCTCTCTCTTTCTTTGATTCAACTTTACAAATTGGGCTTGTTTCACTTTAATGGGCTTATGTTTATGTTGGGCTTTAGTAGTGGCTCATTAGCTTATCCGGGCTAATCACCTACAGTCGGTTTATAGATGTTGAAAATTTGGTTAGATGTTAATTGGACAATCAGATAGCATTTCGTCCAATCAATGAAATCCAAGTTGGGGTATAGATTATGAAACATTTGGCTAAGATGATTTTCACCAACTTTAACACATACATAATCACCTACTTATTCCATTTACGAAGAACAATAGGTTGCAGTGGCGGACCTAGAATATTTTTTTACCGGGGTCAATGATCAATAGAAAATCGGTATTGTTGTTTGCTCAATGATGAAGACCAAAGTTTTACCAAAGTGACAATCTAAATTCCAAGGCTTTAGGTTATTGGCAATTATTTAATAAAGCTATGTTTGTTTTTTTGGACAAAAATAAGTCTAGTTGTTAACGTGGACTTTTAACAAGATTTTAGTGGATTAAAATCATTGGGCTGTAGTTAATGGGGTGTCAAAACTAAAAATTAACCTGGTTCAATTAACAAATTTATATGTGTTATAGTAAGAAGAGAGAACAAGAGAAGAGAGGAATTGGTTGTGTATTATTCCATAGTAATGAGTCCTTTATATAGGATTACAATATAGTTTTCCTTGGAGAGAATACACTTGGAGAACAAGCTAGAACATTCTAGAATATGGGCCGATAATGGGCTTCCATATAAACTAGTTATAACACTCCCCCTTGGAAGTCCATTATCTAAAAATATCTTCTAAGTGCGCATGATGCTGCCTCGTTAAAACCTTACCAGGAAAACCCAAAGGGAAAAACCTTAGTTAAGGAAAAAGAGTACAGCGCGCAACTACTCCCCCTCATGAGAACATCCGTGTAGATTAGGTGAATGAACTTCTTGATAATAGCAGATGGAAACTCCTTTAAAATCTTCACTTGAACAGTCTTTAGAACATTGACATCGCCATTCTTCTTGGTTGCATGGATCAAGATGATTCATCTTGATCAATCTCCTTGCTTCACTTGATCTCATAAATAGATGACAAGACTTCTTTAGATGTTTCTCATTTGTGTGTTCTTTGTTGCCTCATTAAAACCTTTCATGGAAAAACCCAATGGGATAAAAACCATGATAAGGAAAAAGAGTACAACCACACATATCATCATATTCTCCCCCTTGGAAGCATCTTCTTCAGGAGATGCATTCCAATACTATCTTTTGGAGATTACTATAAGTATAACTTTGATGAAAGTCATTTAGACTTTTAGTCTATGACATCTTTTTCTATAAACAATCATTTGGACTTCTGGCCAAATTTTCTCTTTTATATACATTCTTGTAAACATCTATCTTGTATATATAATCTCATGCTCATTTTGCTCATTTTCAATTATGAAAGAGACTAACATATTTTTCAAATAGCATTTGAAGTATGGTACTTCAGGACCAAATATATGTGAGCATTGTTTATGTAAATCATGCCATAACATTTCTGGGAATTTGGGATATCTTAAGACAACTTTGTCTTTCCAAATCTTTTATCCCATCTTTTGTGATACTAATTTCGAAAATCTTCTGGAATTTCGATGTTTAGTTTCATGACTATAATCTCTTTTGTTAAATATACATGGGTATTGTTAGCTTTATATATTCACTTTGTATATCCATGAATCAATATTTCTTATTCATTTGATTGAATAGCTAATGTTCTCCGGGAACATAACGATTATATCATTAATTCTTCAATGATTATATCCTTCAGGGACTTTTATATAAATGTCATTGTTTAGTGAGTTGTATAAGTCAAGTTCTTCTTTCATTGCCAGACTTAATGAACTTGAAAGTTGCATCCACCACATGAGAGTATATCTCTTCATACTCATTTTTCTTCGGCACAAATGCCTTTATAACTCACTTGTTTCACACTTTTTAGGTGAAAGGACTTCTGGTCCAAATACTTTTCTCTTTCTAAGAGATTTTAGTTTTGTGTCTATTGCTTCTTTTCGATTTGGCCAAATCATTACTTTGTGTACACAATGCAATAGACTTTGTTTCATGATCCTCTTTCTCATTCATAATATCAACTGCTACATTGCATGCAAATATATTATTTACGACGTCGATTTGCTTCTGGTTCCATTTTATTCTATACATGACATAAGTAATTTCTCGAGATCTCATCATTGTCTCAGGTACCTGAATTTCTTATTTGTCATGTTTAATGTCTCTTCTGGAGATACTCAAAAATATTTGTTTCCTCGGTTTGACCATTGTCAATTTATGCTCTTTTACTTTTTCGAGGATTCTAATATTTGGAACCGACAAGTCTATCACGCTTCATGCGTTCTTTAGACTCACTAGCAGCTTGATATTGTCCTTCTGGGACATCAATTCTTATTAGAGCATTTACAGCTGGTAAGTGACTCAATCACTATATTTGGGTCAGTAAATGTATCTGGCAACTGATACAATAAGTTTTGTGAATGAATTATCTTTTGGACTTCTATTTCACATTCTATAGTCCGAGGATCAATGATAATTCATTCAAACTACTTTTCTTTCCAGCCTTTTATTTTCTCCCCCTGATGTTGGAAAGACTTATCCATTAACATGGTAGTATAAATCGAGCCTTACTTAAATCCTTCAGGGATAGCTCTAGATATTATCAATTTCATATCCAACATCTAACAATCTCTTTGAGGATCTATCTCATACTCACGTCGTGGATTGTATACTGTATATCCACATGCCTTTAGATGAAAATATTTGGTTTCTGACCAAAACCAATTCCAAAGGGAGAACTTTTAATAACTCATTGGCTTGATTTGAATCAATGCTCCTGCATTCTTAGTATGAATATGTATACTGGATGTTCACTGAATTCACCTTTATTACCAATTAATTAATCTTGCAACTTCAGGTTACAGATTGATATCAAGTATACATACAACCATCTTAAAGTTTTCACTTAGTAGATGATCAGTCCACATAGTAGCTTAAACCATAAACTTTTCCGTGTATACTTTTAATAAGTGACTAGATTCCAAATCTTGTCAACTGGTGAATATCATACTATGAATTTCTTGTGAGCATGGGACATATCACAAATCATTGAGAGAATCTTCTGGTTCTTCAACGAATGTCCATATGATTAACTTTCACATCATATCTTAACCAGATTGGTCTAACGGGTTCATGCCAAACAGTGAAGTTTTCATTAACCTTCCGTGTGACCATAACTTCTGGTGTACGGCAATATTTGCTTTGATTGTATAAGCACATTACAATCTGCATTTAATCTTTCCATAATGGTATATAGAGCCTTGGGTAATATGCGTAATGTGAATGTATTCAACATTCTCTTCACTCATAGTCTCAATGTGATGATTCTAAAAATCTTCAGGATTTTCTTTAGCATAGTGTGAACTTCATCTCCTGGATGTTTCACTTGCTATATATATATGAGATTCTTTAATTCTCCCCCCTCGAGATGGTGATACTCTCAATACATCCATCTCAGACATAATCTCACTTTGAATCAACATCACACCCAACTTGGCTCATGTATCCCTGTAACTTTTAAGATTATGACGCATAAGCAATTTTGAATATGAGTTCCCATAGACTGTATGTTCTTCCAAAACATTCAATATGGATGCTCTTCTGGAGCTTTCAATACATATGCTCTTCTGGAGCCTTTTCTATGTATACTCTTCTGAAGTTTTCAATATATATACTCTTCTGGAGTATTCAAATTCACATATATAAATAACATAGAAAATAAATAGCAACTCATAAATTCATAGGATAAAAAGAACAGCTAAAAGCAAATCAAAATTAATAAATAAAGTAACATATATTTTTAAGTAAACTATATGCTTGAATCTCAATTATTTCCTTCAGGGATGAGAAGATCAGCAATTGCTCGTTTGTTACAATTTTTTATTCACTCACTTCTGGTGAGAATTTATAATTATTTTGACCTTTGAACTTGACTACATACACACCTATTCATAACATCATCTTTATGATCAGTTTTTGGCTAGTTTTATTTCTGTAGTCATCGACATTCACTTCAGGGAATGAAGGAGAACTATTTTAGTTCACCAATGAAAAACATTACTTGTCGAGATCATACCTTCTCCTCTCAAAATAGAGTTTTTGACCGATCATAATAAAATTTTGATCAAATATATAAAATGACCAGACTCTATCTATGGTCAAGTATTCTATTTTAAGGTCATCAACAACAAAAATGATCAGACTATATATATTAATAGATATTAGTCATATAAAAATAAGGAAGTCAATATATAATCATCAGAAGGCAAACATAATATAATTCTATTCAGATTGAATTAAAACGGATGAAGCAAGTCATGCGACTTCAGAATATAGATATGTTTGCTGATGGTTTCAAATTCCAAAAACAAAATTTCAGTATGATGGAATTTCAATTATAAAATTCATGATTATGAACTCATATCAACAATTCTCAAAATAATAAACAGCAAATGTCAAAATGAATAAACTATCAAGTTCGTTCATAGTGGTGACAAAATCAAACCAACTAATCAAACACATCATCACATGTAGTCATGATCAATATTAAGCATTTCTCGGATGATGAGATATTATTATAAGTATTACTAACCTCAGTTAGTAGAGTCGGACGGTGACTTGCGGAAGATATGGCTTTGGGGAACACTCACAACGTCATGAAATCAACAGCTTTTCTGATTAATGGAATCCACATTTTCTTTTCATGAAGCCCTTCTTCATCATTAAAAAGGTTTTGTTCAAAAACCCCTAAGAAAACGAAATAAGAATT